GCTATCCTCTGATCTACCGTACAGTTTCGAGTTCAAAGAAGTAGACGAGTCCTTCATTCTTCGAGAGCTCGGATCTCTTAAAACAAATAAAGCCACCGGTCTAGATCAAATCAGCGCAAAGTTACTAAAAGATTCCTCCTCTATCATAGCATCTGGTCTAACAAAGATAATTAATGCCTCGTTCGTTTCACAAACATTCCCAGATGTTTGGAAAAAAGGCAAGATTATTCCCTTCTTCAAATCCAATGACCCAACATCTCCTAATAATTACAGACCTATAACTATTTTACCAATCGTAAGTAAAATAATGGAGCGCATAGTTCACAGACAAGTGTACGAGTACTTACAAGAGCATGATCTAATCACCTCAGAACAATTTGGTTTTCGCCCTAAGTTATCCACAAGCATTGCTTTGACACAACTCACTGAGGAAATCTTGCACAATCTCGACAATAAATTGGTTACCGGTGCAGTTTTTATCGACTTGCGAAAGGCGTTTGACACGGTAGATCACGAACTGCTAATTTTGAAATTAAGAAATCTTGGTTTTTCAAAGTCTGTCATTAACTGGTTCACGTCCTATTTGTCATCACGTACAGTAGTCACATCTATCAACAATTCAACATCGAGTGCAAGACCAGTCACCGTTGGTGTGCCGCAAGGAAGCATATTGGGCCCGTTACTTTTCTTGACATTCATTAATGACTTGCCTCAGTGTCTTAATAACTGTAAGTCGATTCTTTATGCTGATGATACATTATTGTACTACTCTGCAAAGTCAACAACGGAGCTTGAACCTAAAATAAACGCTGATTTACAATCACTTTCACACTGGCTAAATAACAATCTCCTAACTTTAAACTGCGAGAAAACCAAGTTCATGATCTTTACCAACAGAGAGCAGTCGTTTATCAATGTAAACATCACAATTCAGAACGAAAAAGTATCACAGGAGAAATCAATGAAATATCTTGGAGTTACTTTTAGTGAAGATTTATCTTGGCACGAGCATATTGACAAAACGATCTCCAAAATTAATCAAAGACTTGGTGTTCTACGACGCATCAAAGATTTCTTGGACTTGGATACACGTTAAATTCTTTATACGTCTCTAATACTGCCACTGTTTGATTATGCCGATACCATTTGGGGTGATAAGAACAATTCGGTGCTGATGGATTCCCTTCAAACTTTAGAGAACAAAGCTGCAAAGCTGATCTTAGATGAACATCCACGCTATTCTGCAACGGAAGCACTACGACGACTAAAATGGACAACACTTAAAACTAGAAGACATAACCATAGATGTATATTTATTTATAAATGTTTAAATGATTTAATTGACTTTAAATTTGAATTAACAAAGAACGAAGACATTCACAGCTATTACACGAGAAGAAAAAACGACCTCCACCTCTCAAAGACGAACACAAACAAGGGAAAACAAAGACCAAGCTACCAAGCATCAAAAGACTTTAACAACCTAGAACCAGACATCAGAAACGCTAACTCGTTATACAAGTTTAAAACTCTATTAAAAACGCTGTGTAGGCGAGAATTACATAGTAAACATAGTCTTAGTTCCATTACATTTTGTATATATATATATATATATATATATATATATATATAACTACAGACGGTACCGTTTCGGCCTTATGGGCCTCATCAGTGTAGTGCTGATGAGCAGGATGAAAGTAACTGCTATTTACAGTTACCTTTGATGCCTCACGATTGTGGGACATCAAAACCATGCCAGAGCGCTCAAACTGCAAGCAGTGAGCGTGCGCAATGCGTAAGCGGCATGGCTCATCCTGTAGAGCGCTCAATATGACCTATGTAATGTAAAACTTTATTTCAATACGCTAACTTCGACAATTATTTACAACTGGTTTCCACGAAGGGCGTATACACACAAAGAGCTAAATGTTAATTAATATAGAACAAAATATGTAAGAATCCCACCCTAAAATATTATCATCTTCTTCCCAAACCTCCACCCCCTAAACAAGTACCCACCCACCCTCACGCAAAACTAACCCCCCTCCCGCCCACAATCTATATTGTCCTCCCATCATTTGGTCCTGGAGAAATTAGCTTATCATCTGCTTAAATGCAATTTCGCCGTTGTTTTAAATGACGTAATTGACTCAGCCGCCTTGACATCTTGCGGGAGACTATTCCATAGAATTGCTCCACTGTATCCAAATGTTTTCTTTAGAAATTCCGTTTTCGGTTTTTTTAACGAGAGATCAGTTTCGCTATTGCGTAAATCATAAATATTCTGCGATGCATTTCTCCGAGAAAAAGATCTTTAAGGTTTGGCGCAGTGTGGTTCCCCAAGACTTTATACATCAATACTAGCTTGTTTTGTTCTCGTCTCCTAGCCAGGGTTTCCCAGCCTAATTTGTTTAGGACTTCAGACGATCTTACATCGTAGTCAGCTCCGGTAATCGGCCTTGCTGCTCGATTTTGGAATTTTTGCAATTTGTCTTGAAGTCCCAAACCACAGTTATCCCACAGGGGAGAACAGTAATCAAAATGAGGCTGAATTAATGTTTTGTAGACATCATGTAAGGTTTTGTGTGGAACATAAGGTTTTATTCTTTTAATTGCTCCTATTCCAGCGCTAATCTTATGGCAGAGTGATCTGTGAGAGTGGTCCACGAATTTAGTCCTGCACGGAAGCATCAAAGTCACTTACGGAAGCATCAAAGTCACTTACGGAAGCATCAAAGTCAAGGCCATAGAGCGATATCTAACTACAGACGGTACCGTTTCGGCCTTATGGGCCTCATCAGTGTATAGTGCTGATGAGCAGGATGAAAGTAACTGCTATTTACAGTTACCTTTGATGCCTCACGATTGTGGGACATCAAAACCATGCCAGAGCGCTCAAACTGCAAGCAGTGAGCGTATATGTATAGGTTATTTTGAGGCAACGAGGGGATATGTGATTTATTCACCGAGGCGCGTAGCGCCGAGGTGAATAAACACATATCCCCGAGGTGCCTCAAAATAACGTACTTATTTTTCACACTGCGAGGTCGCATTAATGAGTAAGAATAGAAATAATTCTTAATGTCATATTGCCTTCGTTATGTTGTTTTTTTTCTCATTTTTTTGTGCTGCTAAGACATTGCAGGTGAATATTAGAGGGGATTATTAATTGCAGGTGAATATTAGAGGGGATTATTAAACGGAAATTGATTAGAGGGGAATATTGAATATATTCCCCGATAAGAACAAAGGAAACCGAGCAGGGTGAAAAATAAATATATATATATACGAGTAGGTTTATGAATACGAAACGCAAAGAGTGCTCAATATCATAAAAATAGAGCAAATGTAGAATTTCGCTTACCTCAAAATTCCGCAACAGTCTGTTTCATCAGTAAAGAATCATCAGGCATCCCTGATACCGCCTGATGATTCTTTACTGATGAAACAGACTGTTGCGGAATTTTGAGGTAAGCGAAATTATATATATATATATATATATATATATATATATATATATATATATATATATATATATATATATATATATATGTGTGTATGTATATATATATGTATATATGTATATATATATATATATAGTATAAGTATGTTAACGCATGTTATTGTAGATTTGCATGTTATTTTGTAATGTATATGTATATTGAAGTTGAAATTTATAATGCAGGACCCCACTGAAAAACACTTCGGTGACGTGGGTATCCTGGATAAATATAAATATAATAATAATAATTAATAATTCTTTCTTAGATTTCTTGAATTTAATTATTCCATCAATGAAATTTTTTTCTTTTTTGCACATATGAAGGAATGTAACGTTATTTAAAATAAAAACATTTTAAAAAAATTGCGAGAGCCAATTTTCTAAATTCTCAAAAAAAACTTGTTTCAAAAATAAAAATAGATACACACTGCGTACATTTGTCTTGCCAAAAGGAGATATTTCTATAGTGACTGCCATAATAATCAGAATTCGTGAGAAAATTCGAAATTAGTGTCTTATTAATATTAATAGTGCTTACACTATTAGTATTTGTGATATATTACCAATACAGGGACAATAAAACAGTTTTGGTAAACTTTTTTCAAACACTCATTAATAATTCATAAGCTTATTGGCAAATCATGTCAACCATAATATGTCGCGTGCAGTGCCTTTAAACCTGATAAAACACCCCTAATTAGTATTCTTTATATAAAGAATACTAATAAGGCAGTATCTATTGTAGTCTTGCCATTAGTATTCCTAATAAAAAGAATACTAATAAGGCAGTATATCTATTGCATTTGTAGTCGTGTTTGAAGCCGCGCGAGGGTCTTTAGACCTAATATAATAAAACACGACCTGCGAGTTTATTAAACAGTACATAACTACCCGCACAATGGCTGGGATAATTTGAAACCTGCAGAATGTCAATCACAATGTTTACACTACTGCATGTGCACATAAATCACTCAATAATATAGGCTATAAGAAGAGAAATAGCCGTCAAAAATGCCCGTGTAGCCGTGGCTTTAAGAGCATTTTGTTAAAATTTTAATGTTCCAAAATGAACTGGGATAAATTTGAGTAAAATCTGCCAGAATAACTGATGAGACTATTCTATAAACATTAAAGCTCCGTTTAAACTACCATCATTTTTGGAACGGCACTCTTAATTTTCATAGTGCAGTACGTGTATAAACGCAAAAAAGTTTAAGTACGAAAATTAAGACTGCCCTTCCAAGTAATCTGTAAAATGAATATTTTTATAACTGCGGCTTTAGAGTCCGATGGCGCTTATAGACTGTGTAGTAGTTTATAATGCGATTGGAGTTGCGTACAGGTTCGAATATACATAGTATGCAGCATCTCATTGCACAATATACAAATATTAAAGTCTAGAATACAAACGTGGAAGTGAATAATATAGCCTTCACGGTAGTTATTTAGCCACAAATGTGTCTATTTTTGGCATTTCAACAGATGCACTGTCTATCAATCCAGTCCATTGTAAAAATTTCGATTCTAGGGCAAACGTTCAGTAGCTGACTTTTATAGTATTGCTGACTTTTAAAGTACTGCTGACTTTGATCAGAGTTAATTTGTTTTGAATATATCGTAAAGCCGGTTTTCAACTAGCGATTATTCCGTGCGAATCGACTATTTGCTAAGTTTAGTTGAGAACATTCCGATCCACTCAAAAATGCTATTTCAATTTTTCGACAGAGTATTAACACGCGAACTTCTTACTTAACCTTAACAATCTCTATGACAACCTCAATGACTGTGACTTTTGTCAATCTGACACTACATTTTATCAACACCACCTTAAACTCACAAGCACAGAAATAGATACGATGTAGCGTACAATGGAGTCTGCTGGGTCAGAAACATAGAGAACTGTGCTCAATACTGATAATATAAATGAAATGAACATTTTATTAGAGTAAAGGTAGGTTATTAATTATGATACAAATATCAGCATGAGCTCCACCTTTGAATTTACTATACGAGTAAATTCTTAAACTCGTAAATTCTTATCATAATGATAAATTCGCGGCATCTAACCCCTAACACTAACCCTAAAACCCAACCCTAACCACTAACCCCTAACCTTAATCCTAACCCTATCTAACTTTTTAAACTTTTTTGAAAATCTAACTTTTTTAAACTTTTCTTTTGAAAACCTTGAAAATCTTCCAACTCCCGCGCAACCAGCCCCCCTAACTCCCTTTTAGTATGGCTTACATTTATAACAAAAAAGTCTTGTCTAATGCTTTTGGTTTTATGATTAACTCTATTCAAAATTCAAAATGTGCCGCGAACACTTATATCATAATGATAAATTCGGACGTGTTTAACTCTTTACTCATATAGTAAATTCAAAGGAGGAGCTCATGTTGACAAATATATCGGTTTTTGAATATTTTGATCAGTAATTTCCGCAGTAATATATCACTATATACAATATTTCACTAAAAGATGTTCAGTGTCCACTGCATACATATTTACTTTAAATAGAGTAATGTATGCTTTGGTCGCATGGAGAAATGTAAGTAGGTTAAGAACGCCGTACGTTTAGCGATATATTTTATTTGGACATATCGGTTTTGTTCATTGAATTATGAGAAATTGAGAATTACGCATATAGATACAGACAGTTCTCTTTATGTACATATGACTTCTTCCAGTTGTACAGTTTTTTCCAATTCATCATGTTGTTGCTTTTGTCCCAACAACGGTTCGTAAACAAGTTTCTCATTCGGCTCCGAGAACAGATCTTTCTCTCCATGAAAAAGCTTTTGCCAGAAAAAGGAAAGGATTCGTAAGTGGAACGCCAATCTGAAACCGATCACGATCACTACCAACCCCCGGAATTTCCTGGATTCATCTGGAAAGTTGTGTTGGATCAGGGGGGCTACTTCAAGTGCCACATCGAGCATGATGGAGGCAACTTTACTGGTTACCTCCACAAAATGCA